GAAGCAGTTCATAGCCAGGGAGGAGTAAGCAAAGACTGAAGCCAGATGAACAATTTGTCTGTCCAGAGAAGGAATTTACAATGTTGGGTCTAAACACTCCCTTGTAGGAGCCACAGGGTTCAGTCTTCACTTAGCACCCCTTGGCCTGGAGGCACTTCCACAAGATAAGGAGGGCAAGGGGTATGGGGAGGGATGCCTGTAGGGAGGTGGAGAGAGGGGACCCGGCCAGGAGGCACAGGGAGGCAGACACCAACCTGAAAAGTTAGCTGAAGGGGAGGTGTTAAGCTGTGTGTCTGTGATGTCACGAGGACCCCTCCCAACACTACCCTAATCATGGTGGAGAGTGTTTGTCGTGTGTGATCTATCCTGGACCCTGGGCTCCATGCCACCCAAGCCATCCTGTCATTCCCACCTGAGACAGGGGCCTTATATCCAGATGGGGCACCAAAGTTCAATGACTTGCCCAAGGGCACACGCAAAGTCCAATTTCTTTCTGGGAGTGAATTCAGAGGACATGCCCCCTGGGGGGGTAGGGTAGGGTGCACCTGGTGAGGTTGCCTGCAGAGCCCACCTGCAGGGGCTCAGCTCTTGGGCAGCCCCTTGTTGGAACAGAGGCTCACATGTAAGCCCTTATGTTACACAGAACTATGTAGAGTGGAGGGGACAGGTCCCTGGGGGCACAGTGGGATCCTGGCTGCACCTGCCCCAAAGTTGGTGAGACCCAGCCAAGGAGAGGTGACAGCCCCTACCCCCACCATCGGTGAAGCCCAGCCGGGCAGAGACGGGGCCTCTTCTGGGGGATCGGCCACCTCACCTCTGGCAGGTCGGCGGGCATCTGGTCAGAGGCAACAGACTGAGGCAAGGAGCTGAGAGCCAGAGCAATTAGGAACTGCCTTGCTCCTTGCCTCCTGGCAGCTGCCCCAGCTGTCACTCCGGAACTGGGCCTGATCCTTGCTCCCATCATCCCCTTCCTCATCTTGGCAGGTCTTAATCCCTGGGACAGCTTCCCAGCCTCCAGCCTCACCTGCCCTGGGCATGAGTGCCCACTTCTCAGAAGGGGAGACTGAGGCCCAGAAAGGACCAGGAATAGGAACTCACCCTGCTCCAGGGTCATTTTTCCCACCAGGACTCCTCCCTCTGGAAGGGTGGTTCTCAACCCTGGCTGCACCCTGGAATCTCCAGATCCCACCCAAGACCAGTAGGAGTGAGCCCCTGAAGGCAGGGCCCTGTGTGTCGGCATGCACACACATCCCGGAGGCCTGTGCGTCTTGCTCAGGCCACCTTCTGCAGTCATGGATACCAAACTCTGCCCCGAGAGCTGGAGGCTTCTCTGCTTCTGTGGCCAGGCCTCCCCCCGTGTCCCATGTCCATCAGAAGCAGCCCAGGAGGAAGAGCCTAGAAGAATTTAGAAGGTGGGCAGCCGCAGACCAGAAGGAAGAGAAAGGAGGCTGCACAGGGAGCCCCAAAAGGTCTAGCCTCGGCATCTCAAGCACTGTGTGTGACAGGGACAGTGGGACCATGCACTGTTCCCTTCACCATCTCATTGGATCCCTGCAGCAAACCCATTCTACAGAGGAGGAAGCTGAGGCCAGGAGCGGTGCCGCACTCAGCCAGAGTCAGGCTGTGTCCCAGCCATGCCAGACTCCAAGTCCAGTGCTCTCTGTCCAGCTCCAAGCTGCTGCTCTTTTCCTGCTCCATCCTGTCTGTCCTGTCACCTGTGGGACCTGGATGTCTGCTGACTCCGAGGGGGTGGCTAGAGAAGGGATCAGAATGGACAGGGACTTCTGGGTTCTGCCCACACCCCTTCCCGGCCAGTCTGCGTCCTCCAGTCTATAAATTCCCTTATTCATCAAGTGACTGCTGGAGTTTGCCTGGACGATGAACATTTTATTCGCCTCCAGACACTGTCCCCAGCGGGTTCTTGGAACAGTATTGTTCTCCAGCCAAGGTGCAGAGGCCAGAACTGCTGCCCTCCCTCATACCCCCTCTCCCAGCCTCCTCTCGTACCTCCCAGCTCGGGAAGGGCTGTGGTCAGCACCAGCATGACCTTGAGCTGGGCACTTACTCTGCCTCCGCCTAAATTTCTTCCTTTGACCAAGGATTCACTTGCTGGGCTTTCACAGCTGCTCTGTGGCCTCATCCTATGTGGTGGGGAGCTCTCCCTGGTGCTGAACACAGTGGCACTAGCCTTATGGCTCTAGGAAGCAATGTCTCAAGGTCTCTGGCCAGGAGGGGAGGGCTTCTGTCTCAGAAAAGGTGTGTGGCCTCTGGTCAGAGTGGTCCCCACTTTTCCTCTTGTCCTTTCAGAGTCACACGTGTCAGGGGGTCACCTTTCCCAGTGTCTCCTATCCTCAAGCCAAGGACTAGGGGTAAGGTCCATGGAGAACCCCTTTGGTGGGACCCCAAGGCGATGAGTTTCCTATTGGGCACCATGGGGAGTGTAGTGTGATGCTGAGGCACCTTCCCCAGATCGGGGAGTGACAGACATAATTCACACCCTGCGATCATGCCATCTGCTCCCCTGTGATGTGCAGAGGAGAGGAGGGGGCAGGCGGGTGGGCATTCGTTCGTTCATTCATTCATTCATGCAGCAGATGTTCATCCAGGCCCCGCTACCTTCCCAAGTGCAGCCCTGTGCCAGGCATCGGGGAGGGTTGGCCCTACCCTCCTAAGCTGAGAGTGGTCCTCTAGCACCTCTGAGCTTCTGCCCACTATGGCTCCTCTCCCGGAGCCCCCTGCCATCAAGTTCCAAGCCCTCACCAAGCTCTGAACACTTCAGGTACAGGATGTCACCACTAACCCTGGGTGTCGGTGTGCTCCTGTTTACCAGCTGGGTAAACTGAGGCTTAGGGAGAGGTGAGTTAAGACATTCAAGGTCATATGAGTGGACAAGGTTCTCCACAAAGAGTTCTTACTCCCACCCCACAGCCTCCCCCACCCCATGTCCAGAGACTTTTCAAGCCCTGCCTCCATGTCCTTCCTCTGTAAAAACTGCCACCTGACGGGTCCTTCAGACTGGGAAAGCTGCTGCCCAGACGTGTGGCCCTTGCTCTGTGAACATAAGCTGCCCACCCTCTTATTCCCAGCCTGGCTCACAGCACCCGGCACCTGGGCGCTGCCCAGTGAACCATGAAGCTTGGCAGTAGAGGGCCAAGGAGGAGGAAGGGGAGGAGGAAGAGGAAAAGGAGGAAGAGTTCTGCTAGAGTCAACATGACTCCCAGAGAGGCAACATTCATGCAGAGCCTGGAAGGGCAAGGAGAGTACGGTGCCCCTCTTCCCCACGGGCTCCAACCCCAGCTTTGCCTCATACAGCTGTGTGACCCAGCCTCAGACTTTCTGTTCCCTGAGCCTGGAGTCCTCCTCTCTGAAGGGGAGAGCCACACAGCCCTCCAGGGTGTAGAGAGATCATTGGATTATGGGGACATTCCAGGCAGCACGTGGGAATGTGGTGCCAACAGGCAGTCCTGTGGGCTGTGGCTTTGCACCAAGAAGGAGGACAAGGACTTCCCTGAGTCCCCAGGGGAACAGGATGACAGGGACAGCTCAGGCAGTGAAGTGGCAGGGAGCACCTCAGTTACTAGGTGGAGACCCTGTCCCTCAGCCACAGACGGAAGCTAAGGTCTGGGTGCAGGCAGGGGGCGTGAGGCCTGTGTCTGCATGGACACAAGGTCCCCATCACATCCACAGGACCAGACCTGAAGATCACCCCCTTCATTTTTGTGTCATTTATCTCAGGGGCTGCTTTGGCTCATTCCCTTGAAATCCCCTGCCTGGGCGGCAAGGCTTGAACTGCAGGAGCTGCCCTTCTGCTGAAGAGAGCCAACCGGATCCCCGGCGGCCTCGGGGGGGTTGCTGCGAGCTGGGTTCCCCACCAGCCTCTCAGCAGGTGCTCGCCCACCCTCCTCAGCCCAGGGTCCTGATTCAGAGTCTGGCTGGCCTGGCCATCACAGCCTGGATACACAGTAAACACCAGGGGAGCGAGCAGTCACTGCTGGGCTCTCAATCAGTACTCGGCAGCAGTAATTATTATTAATTCATATTCCCCGGGGGTTTCATGCTAATAGGAATCTCCCGAGAAGTGCAGGGGGGCGCCACCAGGCACCTCTCAAACACTGCGACATCGCATCCTCACTGCTGCCCTGGTTACATCCGGGGAAATCAAGGCCCTGGGAGGCTAAGGGCCGTGGCTACGAGATGACAGACTCCAGTCTCAGATCTGCTTGCCTCTGAGCAGGTTCCTTCTTGCTCAAGCCACCAGAAAACCTGAGGGACCTCAAAGCATTCAGCACTAATGGCAGATTGGCAGACATGCGAACAGCTATTCAGAGTAGAGACTTTTCTGGGGCCTCTAACACTCCCAGCTCTAGGTCTTCATGGGCTGGTGCATAGAGGCCTGGGAGACCGACAGACAGCTGGGGTTCTCCCTGGCTCCTCCGCAGGTCATGGATCTGCTGGGAGCTCCCTCCAGGGCAGGGCCTGGGAAATGGTGGGGTCAGCCTGAGCAGGCTGTCATCTCTGACTGAGCCCCGTCTCCAGGCCCCGCGACAGGGCTGAGATTAATAAGCGACAAGAGTAGAAACAAGCAGAAAAAATGTAATTCAGCTCGGGAAGGGCAGGACTGGGCAGGACTGGGCAGGGCCGTGGCAATCAGCTTTCCCTCTGGGGACTTTGGGGTGGGGAGGTGGTTCTGACCGGGGCTTCCGGGTGGGGACACAGAATCACCCCTCCCTTACAAATGCGCACACACTCGTTCACGCATGTTCACAGCCCTCCCAGCCCAAGGACCTGTGCACAGTCCTCACCCACTCACAGGCTCAGCCCTGGGCTTTGGCCTGCCCCTCTTATGTTGGCACTCGCAGGTGTCTGCGCACACCCAGCACATGTCCATCTGTGGACTTGCAAACACATGTCCACACAGCTGATGGTACGCATACCCCTCGTGGAGAACAGATAAAGTACACATGTTGCTCCCACAAGCACCTCCCTTCCCCTACGCACACATGCTCTCAGGCCTGGGCCAGGCCGGCGCACTCCAGAGGTCTAACCTGCAGCCGTGCGAACTGCAGCCACTTGAACAGACAGGCCTCTACACCGGTTCCACGAAGCACAGCAGGCACTCGTGCATCTGGGCCTCTCACCGCACAGAGGCCCAGAGACAGACTCTGGCTTCTCCTCTGCCCGCTAAGTGGTGGGGGCCTGGGGAGGAGCCCTGCCTGGGGTCCTCCAGGCAGAGGAGCAGGGCAGCTGCGTGACTGACCCAGAAAAGCAGGCTCCCAGTCACAGAGCAGACGGGCTGGCCCCAGGCCGTCCCCCTCCAGCCCGACGCCCCTGCCCCTGACCTTGGTCAACGCCTTCGCTCTTAGCCTCAGTTTCCCCACCTAGAAGCCTTCCCGAGCACCAGCACAGCGATTCTCCTGGCGGACCCAGGCGCCTGGGGTCGATCTCACCCCACCCCCAACTCTTGGAGCCACAGGGCCCCTGCTCGCAGCTAGTGAGGGGGGCGGGCCCAGGGGCAGGCCGGAAGGGCCCCACCCCAAACCACCCCCACCTTGTCCTGGCGGCTGCAGACTTGGG